CCTGTGAGCCAGCCTCATCAGGCACAGAGGGGCCCACGTCCGGTGACTGAATCCACTGTCCTGGGCTTGCTCCCATCCCGAGACCAAGAGCTTAAGACACAGAACTCGGCTTTAAGCCTCCTTATCCCTCCTCCCTGCCCTCAATCCCAGCTTGGCCCGCAGCACCTTTCACTGAAATGCCTGTTGCCGGATTCACCTCTGTGAACAAATCCTTTCCTAAGAAGAGGCAACACAAGACCTGCCTGGAGGTCCAGTGGTTAAGACTGCTCCCCCGGGTTCGGTCGATCCCTGATTGGGGAACTAAGATCCCACATGCCACGTGGCATGGCCAAAAACACACACACACATACCGGCAAATGCAAAGGGATGAAGACCTATTTGAGAAGCTCATCAGAAGTTACTATCAACAAACTCTCTGGTCACAGCAATCCAACTGCAGATGGTGTGTTCTCCGGGTCAGCTACAAATCACAACCATGACTGCGATGATTTGTGGGGGGCCCTGGGTGGGGGGGCAGTAAGTTGGGTTCTGTGCACTGCACATCATGTGCACCAAGTGGGAGAAGCCTGGCCCTGCCCAGACTTGTCACTCAGCCCTCCTGAAAGCAGCAGCAGGAGTCAGCGGTATGGCTGCAGCCTTTGCTCTGTCTGAGCCCAGATGTGCTCACAGGGCAGCATGCAGGAGCCTGCGGGCACCAGGAAATCCCGTCTGCTCTCAGGTCCCCTGGGATTAGAGTGCACGTCAACCTGTCCTCCCCCCGGCTCCACACGCCACACCAGACAAGGGCAGTGACCAGCTGCACCCACACAGCACTGTGCTCTCTGGTAGACACCATGGGCTCTCCAGGCCTCCCGCCCCCCTGCTCCCACCCTGGGGGCCACAGCATCCCCGACTAATGGGAGGAACTTGAACCAAGAGCTGTTTATCCAGATCCCTGGGGGCCTAGTGTGCGGCAGTCCCTCCTCTCAAGGCACCCAGAGGTGCAGGACATTACTGCGCACATTCCCGCCCTGGGGCCCCTTCCACTTCGCCCAAGGAACCCTCCCTCCGCCCAGTAGAAACCTGGAGTCAGAGCTTCCCTGGTGGCACAGTGGATAAGAATCCACGTCTAGGAGACACAGGTTCGGTCCCTGGTCTGGGAAGACCCCACGTGCCGAGAAGCAACTCAGCCTGTGAGCCACCATGACTGAGCCGGCCCTCTGCAGTGAGCTGCAACTAACTAGTGAAGCCTGGGCACCCCGGAGCCCATGCTCTGCAACAAGGAAAGTCACCACAGTGAGAAGCCTACAACTAGAGAAAGCCCGTGCAGCAACACAGGCTGAGCCCAGCCAAAACTAAAAAAAAAAAAAAAAAAGCCTGGAGTCAAATCAGCTTCAAGTATGTGTTGATACAAAGCCTCCCTGAGGCTTTCTAAGCAGGGACTCCACCAGCAGACAGGGGTGCCCCACCATAGAGAGGAAGGGGCTCTCCGAGGACCCTGCAGCTGAGCCCTCCTGGACGGAGAGGCTAGGGGAGGGGAGACAAAAGGGGGAGCCTGCTCTTAAACCACTGACAAGCACAGTGGCTTTGCGGATTCCTGGGTGAGGACCACTGCCCCAAGTGGTCCTTCACCAGCTAGCTGCACTAGCAAAAGTCAGTCCTTACTAGCAATGAACGTGTCCTTACCAGAGACAGAGGACCCAGACCAAGGTGGCGCAGGAGCGAGGGNGGGGGGGGGGGGGGGGGGGGGGGGGGGGGGGGGGGGGGGGGGGGGGGGGGGGCGCGGGAGGAGGCGGCGCGGTGGCGGATTTCAGAGGAAATAAATACAAACACTGGAAACATCCGTTTGGGTCTGCCAAGGAACCTTGATTAGGGAGGACAGGCAGACACTCCTCCCTTTGCAGAGACAAGCTGGGGCCACACCAAACAACCGAAGTAAGACTTGTGTCCAGGAACTTTTGGGGAGCACTTCAAAAACGTTAGGTGCGGACTGGCTGGAGCAGAACTCCCAGAGCTGGGGCAGCAGTACCAAGTCTAGAAGCTCAGAGAACAGGACCAGTGGATCGGGGTCACCTCCGGAGTGAGCAGGGCTCAGAGGACAGCGGTAGGGCTCACTCGAGCTCCCAGGCTGGGCCTCCGCTCACCGGCTTCCAGCCCAAAGTCCAGCAGGGCACCATTCTGGTGAGTTTCCCCCAAGGAGGACGAGCTCCGGCTCACAGAGCTGCCCATGCCCGCCCTCTGCCAGGCTCCGCCCGGCCTCGCGCTTTGCAGGTTGGGACTCAAGGCGCTCCTCATTTCCCTGGATGCCCCCCACCCAAGTCCCTGATTCCAGGGACACCCAAAGACCGGGGGGGGGGGGGGGGGAGGGGCGGGGCGGCCCGCCCAACCCTTCCAGAGAGAATCGCACGGTCAGTCCCAGCGTTTACTGAGCGGCCAGGCCTGGCCAGGCGCGTGGGAGTCCCGGGCGCTCAGGCTGCAGCCCGCACTGGTCACTGACCAGCCGGGTCTCCGAGCCTCAGCGACCACATCTGAGAAATCTGTCGCCGGCAGGCGTCAGCGCGTCGGGGAGGGAGGAGGGCCCCCGTGGGGGGCGGGTCCTCCAAAACCCTGGTCCCAGATACTGGGCCCCCGATCTCCCGCCAGCGGGGAGACGTCTCGCGCGGCGCCAGAACCCCACCCCACCCCCGCCCCGAGGCGGGTGCCAGAGCGGCCGCCCGGCGGCTTCTCCCTCAGGACTGCGAGCCCCGGCATGCCTTGCTCCGGCCACGCGGCGCCTGCTGGGAGCTGCAGTCCGGTCGCCGCGGCAAGCGCGCGCGCGCTGGTAGCCCACAGACTACAAGGACCTACAGGCGGTACACGCCGGCCGCCGCAGACCACAAGGCCCGACAGGCCGTGCGGCACCAGCGGCCAGCGCCCCTCCCTTCGTCCTTGCCGCCACCCCGGCCCGCCGGCCCCGCCGCCGGCGCCTACGCCTGCCCCTGCCGCCCCGCTCCCTGTGCCAGCCCGCGGCGACCTATGTCTATGGCGAAGCGCTTGGCGTTCTCCAGGTTGCGGAAGATCTCGTCGGGGGGCAGCGTGATGCTCTTGTCCAGGCTGTCCCCGCTGCTCCCGCTGCCGCTCGCTCCACACTCCGCCATTTTGAAAGTGCCCGGCCAGCCTCATCAGCCATGGAGATATATGCGCATATATTTGACTGCTAAACGCCTCCCGCGCATAGATTATGCTAATTAGCTCCCGCGCCGGCCCCGCCCCTCCCGCCGCTGCTGCTGTGAAGGCTGGAGGGCGGACACAGGCCGGCGGGCGCGGGTCTTAAGAGACTCTTGACAAGGCCAGCGAGGCAACTGAACACAAAACCTCTGGGCTGTCGTCGTCTCTGTTCTTTCGCTGAGCTAGCCGGCTGCTGACCTCGTGTGATATGAGCTAGTGCAAAGAGGGCACCTGGAACGTGCAGACCACCAGAGAGACCAACTCCTGCACGCGAAAGCACTTGTGACCTCACCAGACTGGTTCCCTAGGAGCACAGGCCCGTCGCTGCCAAAAATCCCATGCAAACGGGGGGAGTTGGGTCCCTTGCTCTCTAGGAGCCCCTCCCCCACCCCACCGGGGTGGGAGATACCCTAGCAGCTGCGCAAGAAGTGTGCTTTAATGGAGAGATCCTCAGTGTGCAGGGGAAAGCATCTTCCTCCTGAAAGATGGAGTCTGTGGGAGTTTGCAGGGAACAAGCTGAGGAAGCTCCCAGATGGTGTTGGGGACAGACTTCAGGGCCCTGGAAGGCTTGGAGACTCTTAAGGGGAGTGTACCCTGTAAAGGCAGTGGGAGCTTTGCGAAAGAGCCCAGTGTTGGAGGCAGTGTGCCAGGTGTCTTTGGCACCTGTCTCCTAGGTGCCAAACTCCTGAGCCAGTTACTTTGGGTTTTGACCTCAGCCTCTTTCTGAGCATGCCACTGGCTGCCTGGCAAGGCCCACTGGAACATAGACCTGTGAGCAGCACAGACTCAGTTCCAGGATGATTCAGGCAGGGCTTCAGGAGAGTGAGGCAGCCTTGCCGGCTGGCCTGGCCAGGAGACACACCCACAGGGACAGATCAACCATGTATCTGCCACACAAACAATAAATGTGTGGGTGTGGGAGGGGCTGCTCCCAGGGCTCAGCAGGCACCTGAGGGCAGAGCAGAATTGTGCTCCTCCGGAAGGGGTGCTGTGGACCTCCCCTCCAGAGTGGACAGAAAGGGTTGGAAGGCGGGGCCAAGAGAGGTGCTGAAGAGGAAGGAGGGAGCCCCGGCCTGGGTGGTTCTGGGTCTCTTGCAGTTTCAACCAACACCCCGTGCCTGCCTAAAAATAGACAGCTGCCCTTTCTGAGTCGAGGGCTGGCCTTCCTGTTGCCAGCACTGCCTGTCTCAGCCCTGGTGAGCAGTCCACCTGCAGGGAGGTAGGCCGGCCACCTCTGGGCTGGCCAGGAAGGTGCCCCAGGGGCTGGTCCCGGGACACAGGGGCTCCAGGTGTGAGGGGAGGACCGTGGAGGGGAACGTCTCTTGTGTTTGGCACAACTAAACCCCTTTGACTGTAGCGAGATTGCTGCAGGCCGTGGGGTCCCTCTTAGCACTCCACCCCCACCTGCAGGGAGCTAGTGAGAGGTCCTGCAGCCCCCCCCCAACAACCCCCTTACTGCACAAGGGGACACAAGGTGTTCAGAGACCCTCTCCCCTCCAGCCTGCCTCTCCCTTGTTTCCCTGTCTCTCAGTCACTTCCTACCCCACCTACTTGTCCCCTCACTCCTCATTCCCAGCTTCTCTTCCCTCCGTGATGGTCAACTCTGCTTCCCAGCACCCCTGCTTCTCCTCTGCTTCCCCTCCTCCCTCCCTCCTCAGCCGGAGCCCAGCCCTTCTTCGGGTGTCCAGGGTCATTGGCAAGGACAGCGCCCACCTGTGGCTGCATATATCACAATAGTGCCTACTCCTCTTCATCCCTGCCGACCTGCCTGCCTGGTGGCCGCCAAGGACATGTGTGAGGCACAGAGACAGATCGCGAGGGGGCTGAACAGTCGGATTTTATTATCAGTCTGCTGAGCAGTCCTGTGGTTCCCACATGACCAAGAGTACAAATTCTGAGTACAAAGTTGTGCCCACGTGCACCCACCCACACGGAAATCCTTTAAGGATCACGGCGGAGACCCCCACCCGCCCCACACAGCCCACTGTGAGCCCCGACCAGACAACCAAGCAGATGTAGGGCCTTTCGGCCTGGCTCTGCCCAGCCCCACGCCCATCCTGGCTGACGCTTTCCTTCCTATGAGGATACACCTTGAGTTCTGCCTTCACAAAAGGCAAATGCGGCACGGCAGCACCTGATCTGAGAAAGCCCTCTACGCACAGCACGGGGCGCCGGCTGGCCGCGCCCCGCCATCTACAAATATCATAGAACCCCAGCAGTGGGGACTTCCCAGAAGTCACTTGCGGAAATGCAAACATAGAGCAACCCCATAGGGTCAGACATTTGGCAGAAGACGGGCCCTGATTGTCCTAAATGACAAGGACTCTGCACACATTCTCTGAGAATGACTCTCCTGCTGGCCGGCCAGCCTGGAGAGAGAGCCTTCCGGAGAAGGGGTGCATCCAAGCCTGAGGCCGCACAGCCGATGGGAAGGCTCTTCCCCATCCAGAGGAACGCCCCGCCCTCTTGTCCTCGGGGCTGGGCGGCCGCCCGCGGGTCTCGCTGGTCACCAAGGCCGCCAGAGGCCACAGGCGGGCTGTCGCGCAGTGGCGGCAGCGGCGGCCTTGGCCGGGGCAGGCGCGGGCGTAGGGCTGGGCGCCTTGGGCTCCTTGGCGGGCACGGCGGGCGCGGCCGGGGGTCGCTGGAAATGGTACAGCAGCTTCATCTGCGTGTCGCTGGCCGCGTGCAGAGTCAGGAACTGCACGGCCTCCTGCAGGCACCATGAGTAGCCTTCGCTGTAGTCCTGGTGCAAGCTCTTGGGGCCGGTGGCGGCGGCGGCGAAGGCTGCAGGGAGCGGGGGCCGCGGTGAGCCGGGCCGGGGGGTACGGGGAGCGGGGTAGCAGGCAACGGGGCCGGGGGCGCAGGGAGGGGGGCAGCGGTGAGGGGGTCGCCGGTGAACGGGGTCAGGGAGCGCGGGGCGGCGGTGAGCCGGTCGCGCGGCCCGACTCCTGGACGCAGGGCGGCTCACCTTTGCTGTGTTTCAGGTAACTGACGGCCATCTCCAGGATGTCGGCCTTCTCTAGCTTGGAGTTGGGCTGGTGGCGCGCGAACTCCTGCTCCAGCAGCAGCTTCAACTGCTCGATGCTGCTGTTGATGCGGTCGCGGCGCATCTTCTCCACCACCGGTTTCCGTAGCTGCAGGCGGGAGGAGGGGGCGTCAGCCGGGCTCGGGCCACGCCGGCGCGGGGGCCGCGGGGACCGCGCACCAAGCCGGCCGCGCACTTACTCGGTTTTTCTCTTTGGGGCTGAGCAGCTCCACGGCCACGGTGCTGGGAGCCATGCCTGGCGCGGGGAGAGGCGAGGCGGCAAGGCGGCAGGGAGCGGAGCAGGCGCGTCCCGGGCTGGCGCGGACCCCGGCCCCTATATAGGCGCGGGCGGCGGGCTGGCGCCTGGGGCCCGGGTGCCGCGGCCGTTCCCACACTCCGCGGCCAATGACGGCGCGGGCCGCACAAAGGCGCCGGCCCATTAGCGCACGCTAAATTGCCTGTGAATTGGCGCGGGCACAATGGGCGCTCCCCGAGGAGCAGGTGGGCCGCGCGGCACAATGTCCGGGCTGTGGGAACGCGCTCGCCCTCATTAGCATCCCGGGGCCTGATGCTGGGAGCCCCGCGCCTCAATATGCTGCCTTTTCCCAGGCCGCAGGGACGAGGAGGGGGGGCAGGAAGGAGCGGCGCCCTCCCCGCCCCTGGCATCCCCAGCCTCCTTCTCTCCCTACAGCCCCCTCCCCAGCGACTCCGCGCTGCTGGCTTGCAGAGGCCAGGAGCGCAGATACCGAGAGAGCTTTAGAATGTACAAGTGTGGCAGCTTCCAGAGGGCTGGGTACCCTCCCAGGCAGGGACCTGTTGCCCTCAGGGGAGGGGGAACGGAGGAAGCAGACACAGCCACCTCCCTCTGCTCAGGTGGAAGAGGGGCTCTCAGCATTAGACCTACTGGCCTATGTGGCAAGTCCCCAGGCTGTCACCTGGGACATGTGACTTAAGAGCTGGAAAAGGTGCTGCTGCGCCTCCTAGGCTGGGCTTTGGGTCGCTTCAGGGAGCCAAAGTCCCTGAGATGCCTTCCAGGAGCTTCTGTGCCCCCTCCTCTGGGGCGCTAAGGCTTATCAGGCTGTAGCATCTGGGGTGCTCTGACCCAACAGGTGGCTGCCATGGCCCCACTCCACCCCCATCTGGATGGGAGTCTGACCCTGGCTGTCACAGTGGCTCCAGGCATGCTCCTTACAGGTGTGTGGTCACCCTTCCCATGGGACAGGGGGGAAAGCCTCAGCCACATGCTGTCCTATTCCAGCCCTGGGGGCACCTGTAAGGTCTGCTGTCCTTAAGCATTTTGCCAGTGGTGGGGAAGGGGTGCCAGGAGGCAGACATGAGGCCCCTGCCTGGAGCCCACATGAATGCTGTACCAGCTCAGACCCACTGGTGGAATGGCTGATCCTGGTCCCTGGTCAGTCCAGCTGAGGGCCAGTGATGACTTGGGGGCCAGCCCCACCCTGGGTCCCTAGGGGAGTGGCTGCTTGGAGCCTCCCTCCACCCAGAACAGTCACTGTCCTCTGATTCTCTGCAGCCAGGAATCCCGTTCTGTAGGGACTGAGCGAGGGGGTGGGGCTGGGGCTGCCTTCTAGGGGCAGGGAAGGATCCAGGAAGGTCCAAGGGGGAGCAGGGCTTCAGTCTTGGGAGCCAGCAGTTGGTATCAGGGCGCATTAGCTGGAGTTCAAATCCAGGAGCACAGTTCCCTGGACAGCAGCCACGTCCGAGCGCGGCTGGGAATCACAGGGGCCTAACAAAGGTCTTGGCAGGGACTCGCAGCTTTGAGTGGCCTGCTTGGTGGACCTGCTCAAGAAGGCCACAGCACAGGAAGCCTTTGGTGACCCAGAGAGGGGCCCATCCAGGAAGCAGGAAGATAATGGGCAGGCTTGGCTTGGAGTCAGCCCAAGACAGCCCTGAGAGCCCCTGGTCACCCCTGGGATGGATTAGGTGAGGGGCTCTGGGGGTGGAAATATCAGGTGACTTTGGATTGAGATAGAAGGCAGCCCAACTTCACCCTTGGCACTTGCTTCTCCTCTGAAGCACCTCTCCTGAAGGGGACACAGGCCTAGGTTGGCTGTGGGAGGCAGGTGACCCTGAGGTTCCCGCCTTGGGCCTGGGCTCCTCTTTGAGCAGGGGGATCCCTGCCACAGATATCTGGCCATTTCTGGTTGATGCCAAAGGGCAGAGGGTACCTGGGCAAAATGGAGGTGGGTGTGTGGAGGACATGTGCTCTGTACTTTGCTCCACAGCTTATTTGGCAGCTCCCACATGCTGCAAGGGGGACCTGGTGACACTCAGCCAAAGTAGGGCTTATGCTGGGCGGCTGGCCTGCTTATGGACTCCCTGGGGGCCAGGCTGTGGGTGGAGAGCAGAGTGGCTGAGTCTCCTGTGTCCCCATTCCCACACCCTGTCAGCCCAGCACCCAGTGCCAAGGAGGAGCTTGGACAGGTAAAGGGAACGCAGGAGTAAGGGGTGGGCCCTGACTGTAGCCCCCACCTGAGGCCACGTATGCCTGACTGCCCAGCTGCTGGCAGTGGTGCCCCAGAGTCCTGCCCAGAACTGAGAGCAGCACCCAAGCTGGGACCTGTCCCCTGCCCCCGGCTTCAGAGGGGCAGTTGGCTGGGGGCGTGTGCCCTGCCCTGGCTGCCTCCCCCAAGCCAACTTTCGGCCCAGAGGAGACACGTGCCAGCAGAAGTGGTCCGGCCCCCACCACCCCAACTGCATGCCCACCTGCAGTGGGCCGGGGTGGAGGTGAGGGTGGCGGGTGGTCCATGGGGGAGCTGCCTCCTCCCTCCCTCCACCCCTTCCCCCTGACAGGAGCAGCTTTGATCCAATTTTGAGTTGTGGGAAATATGAAATGAATGGTGTTAAATCTGAGCCCGGCCGGATGAAAGGCTCGTTGGCTCCCTCCCCGCGTGTGGGCCAGATGGCAGCGCGGCCTCCGAGGCACACGCCTGGCCTTTGTGGGCCGCTTAACACTGTGAATGGGGCCAAAGTGTGGGAAAGTCGCTGGGCTCCCGGCTCACACGTCCGAGGTGAGTGGCCCAGCAGACTGGGGGGGCTGCCGAGGAGGGAGGGTTTGGGGGCAGGGGGAGAACCCAGGGCTGCTCCTGGCTGGCAGTCTTAGCGCAGAGGCAGCCCATGGTATGGAGGGGGTCAGATCTTCTGCCTTGGCAGCCCCCAGCATCTGGGGAAGAGAGAGGGGAGCTTGTCTTGCCCCCACCCTGGAGAGCTCACTAAGTCTGGGGTGGGGTATCTGGGAACAACCATTGAGACATCTTGCTGTGGATGTGGGGGCTCAGGCCAAACACACTAGCTGGGGGTGATTATGTTAGTATTCAGTAATCTAGGGCCACAACCCACACCCCAAGTCCACCCCTCCCAGGCTGACTGCAAAGCCAATAGCACCATGGGGGGGGGAGGCTTGCTCCAGGGGCATTTGCTCCCTGTGTTCAGGGAGGTCTTCTCGTTGGGAAGGCAAATGGTGCAAGCGGTGTGGAAAACAGTGTGGCAGTTCCTCCAAAGTTAAACAGAATCACCACGTGACCTGGCAATTCCACTCGTGCTCTGTACCCAAAATAATTGAAAGCGAGGTCTTAAAGAAACCCTTGAACACACACATTCACAGCAGCATATTCACAATTATCAAGAGGTAGAAACAACCTGTGTCCATCAATGGATGAATGGATAAGCTAAATGTGGTTCATCTATATGACAGAATATGATCCAGCCTTAAACAGGGAGGAGGTCCTGACACCTGTTCCAATGTGGATGGACGTTAGGACACGAAGCTGAGTGAAATAAACCAGACACAGGAGGACACATCCTATGTGATTCCACTTCTCGAGGTCCCTGGAGGAGTCAAAGACACAGAGACACAAAGTAGGAGTGTGGGGGCCGGGGGAGGGGGAAGGGGTGGGGAGTGTTTGACGAGGATGGAGCTTCGATTTGGGAAGGTGAGAACATTCTGGAGACATGGGGACAACTGTACAACAACATGAATGTCCTCAATGCCACTGAGCTGTGCACTTAAAAATGGTTGAGATGGTACTCTAATGTTATGTGTACTTTACCACAGTTTTAAAATATATATAAACAAGGAGGACTCTATGATGAAGAGCCACACAGTCACTCCCGCCCAGCCTTGTATTTGGCCCCAGGCGACTCTGCCCCGGACCTCCCAGTCCCCTGCAGGCAGGACTGGTCTGGAGGGGACACTGCCATACCCACTGGCCTCTGCCCAGCTCCAGACTGCCCCTCCACCCTGCCTGGAGCCAGATTCCCTAACAGGTTGTGCCGTCCACAGGGCTGTATGAACCCCCAGTGTCTCAGGTACAGGAGGGTTTCCTCCTTGGCATGTGGGGAGTGGGCAGGCTGGGGCAGGTAAGGAGCAAGGCTGGCCTTCTGGGAAAGCAGGGACTCCACCATCCACAGTGGTGCCCCCACATCCAGGGCCACCACAGGGACCCCAGGTTGTGCACAGGGCAGAGATGGGTGCCCCCTGGGATTGTTCTGTGCCATGGCCCTCGCCCTTGGCCCATCCAAACGCAGCAAGGGCTGTGCTGCCTCCTACTGTCTAGTGGCTTCCAGCGAGTCCCGGGCCAGCCCTCCATCACCACCTGGACCACCTGCTGTGACCCCTGAGGGAGCACCCAGGACAGCAGGGAGGCAGCCGGCTCATCTCCCCAAGTGTGAAGGGACAAGGCTGCCACTCAGTCACCCCCAGCCAGGCAGGCCCCTGAGGGCCCTGGATGGCCAGGGTCTGCAGGCTGCTGAGTCTGTCGAGGGGTGGGGAGGGCATTGGGGTCTCTCTGTGGGGATCCAAGTGGAGCTGGATGGGGATAAGAGTTTCAGTTTTTCAGCATCTACTAAGCACCACACAAGGAACAAGAATTTGCCTTCTTAGGATTGCCCAGGGAGGGGACTGTCCCTTCCCTATTTGACAGGCAGCAACCAGGGGGTCACAGAGGTTAAATCTTGCCCACGGTCCCATGAACTCAGGGACAGCTAACATGATGGTGATGGTGGTGATTCCATGTTTTTGAGCATTTATTACTAGGTACGAGGCGGGCAGAGCCCATAGGCACATCGAGAGGTTGCTGAAGCCACAAGGAGGGTGAGGGTGGGAGCTAGGACTTGGACCTGCGGAGGTGGGGTTGGGGAGGGGAAGGAGTGCAGAGTCAGGGCTGGGGGCCTGGGGCACAGACCTGAGTGGAGCCTGCTGTGGAGATGGGACTGGGGAGGGCTTCCCCCTCCCTTACCCCCGGGTCTGTGTGAGGGGGCACATTGATCGCTCCCTGGATCCCCTGG